TCGTGCACGCTGCTCCTCAAGGGCCCAAACAAGCACACGATCGAGCAGATCAAGGACGCGGTGCGCGACGGTCTGCGCGCCGTCGCGGGCGTCATCGAGGACGGCTGCGTCGTGCCCGGCGGCGGCGCCTTCGAGGTCGCGGCGCAGATGGAATTGTGCGACAACTTCACGAAGACCGAGGCGGCCCAGGGCAAGAAGAAGTTCGGCATCATGGCCTTCGCGGATTCGCTGCTGATCGTGCCGAAAATCCTCGCGGAGAACGCGGGCCACGACGTCCAGGAGTCCATCGTCAACATGCAGGACGCGCGGACGAAGCTCGGCGGCGAGCTCGTCGGTCTGGACCTCGAGACGGGCAAGGCGACGGACACGGCGAGCCACGGCATCTGGGACAACTACCGCGTCAAGAAGCAGTACCTGCACCTGTCCACGGTCCTCGCGACGCAGCTTCTGCTCGTCGACGAGGTCATGAAGGCCGGCCGCCAGATGGGCAAGGGCCCGGCGGCCGCGCCGGGCGACGAGTACGAGGGCTGAACCCGCCCCGCCGTTGGCGCGCCGCGCCCTATGCTCCCTTTCGCGCAGAGACCCCACCATCTTCCTAACATCCCTCGGGGGTCCACCATCTGGCTCGATTTGAAATCGACCCCCCCAGGCGCGTCAGTTCCGGGCCCCGCGGCTCCTGGGACGCACCCCACCGGTAGGGCGCGACCCCCGGGGGTCTGAGGAGTCGCTCCGTGCGTTTGTCCCGTTTTTTTGCTTCGTGTCCCGTACTCGTCCTGCCGCTCTACGGTCGAACCATCGTTTATCCCCGGCAGGACGTCGAGTATCTGGATTAGTTAGGCGCTCGAAGCTGCTATGGCAGCTGATGGAATCTCCACCTTAGAGGGCCCCGTGCTCCTCGAATATGCAGCGACGTGCAACGATCCCAGCGGCTTTGAGGTCCGCAAACATGTGGGTGAGGCACATGAAAAGACGCGACATCCGGACGATTGCGAGGTGGCGCAAACGGGCAGCCTCAGGGGGTGGAATGGGGCGCGGCAGCTTCCCCCGACCCGAATTTCGGTCGCCTTCGAGTCACAGAGCGTCGGGAATCGTTCGTCATGAGGGCGATCAGATGCCCTCGCGGCAGCCCTTCGGCTCGAGCCGATTTATCGAGATCACCTCACCGGCTCCGGGAGGCGCGCG